CGACGAACATTCTGTACATTTAAAATGTGTCATACTTCTTACACGTGCTACATAACGTACCGATTATATTTTCACTCAGGTTAGTTCATAAAATTTTACACCGATCCTTACGCGAACTTTTCGCCGCCCGATGTAAAAACACGGAAGGGTGCGCAATTGTTCTCCTCTCAGCAGTTCTTCTCTCCGCCCATCGCGACGCCCTTCTGCTATGGGCTATTTGCGTACATAATAAATGCGCGTGTGAAACTGCTCCCGTGACGAAACGAGTTAAGGAAGTTCGCGAAGGTGACGACGTCGTGCAGAGCTCGGAACTTTGCTAATTCGTGAAACTTTTACGTTGAAAAGATGCCGTTGTGACCTGAGTTTCATCTCGACCCGATCGATCCGCGGACGTAGGCTTGCCGCCGCGACGCGCGATGAGAATTAACCGCGACGTCATTTTTTTCATTGTTGCGACGTTCTCTCTTAAATTCATACGAAAGCTCTAGAAAGAGAGAAAAAAAAGCAAAAGACTTTTTCCCTGAAGATCAACGAAGGATTGAAACCGACGCGTTGAGGAATTTCATCGGGACTCGCGTCAAGACTCCCTTCCCCTCGTCGAAGTTGGCTTTAACTTCAAATCTGAGTCATTGGTATCAATTTCTCAGACGAATACCGGCTGTAACGACGCGCGCTCTCAAATCTCGTGTCGGGGAAGCCGCGAGTAGTTAATAAACTTGTCCGGTTTGGCTTAACAAGTTAATATTGTGTGATCTTCGGACGCGATATTACAGGACCTTTTACTTACGTTGACGAAGGTTGTTTGTAATTTCACTACGAATTCGCAAGTGGTCGTGCGCAACCTCCGACGTGAAAACCCGACGCGCGTCTAAATCCCAAATAGTCGCTCAGACGGGCCGCCCAAAGCACGCTTTTCTAAAAATAGACTACTAATCCTACGTTTTCGCCGGCTGCCCTCTTCCTCTCCGCCAACCTTCCTAAATTCGCTGCTGCGTCGCGTGTCCCGACTACATTGACAAATAAGAAAAGTCAGTCTCCATCGGCCTGACCTGAGCACGTTCGCCTTGAACTCGCGCGACCTGCCATTTCTAACTTCTCTGCGCTCAATATTTTTCTATTTTAATCGAGCGGCGGAACGAAAGATGGTATCATTCGCATCCTGCGAGTGCATCCGCCGCCGGTAAATATCTTGTGAATGTTTCATCTTCTGAATCGCGCGTCGATTTGAACTACGTGTTCAAGAAATAAAATGCTTCTAATTTGCTTCTAATGCTGGGATTAAACTGGCATAGTAAGTTATATCTCGCAGAAATAAAGGAGATTCGCCTTAAAGAACGTAACTTCGACGAGTCCTCACATTTTTATAAAATAACTTTTTTATTAGCTTCTCTAATAAAAATTTATTCATTATTTTTAATCGGATATATCAGCTTGTTTACTAACAATCAGGCTCGCTCGTGTGGAAGGTATATCGTCGGTAGCTATGTAAAAAAGAATGAAACAAACGTTTAACAGATCGATAAGCAATTGACGTGAAAGATTATTTGTTAAATAAATAAAAAGTGCGCGAAAGAGCGGGAGGGCATAGATCGATAACACACGCGGCGGTGGCGGCGGATCACGTGCGCGAAATACGAGCGTACGAGCATCAGGTGAGAACTCGGCAGGACGAGTTTTCATGGTCGCTGTAAAAGTCCGTGGGAAACGTAAATCAGGGCCGAGGAGTGGGCCCGGGGGGCCGTAGGGTGTTGGAAAATTATTGCCAGCCGGGAAAACCGAGCTCAGGCGAAAGTTCGCGTGACCCGCAATTCCGGCTCGACTTTCACTCTTTTTTCTACTTCCGTCGGAAGAGTATCGATCGTATATGCGTAAGAAAAAAAGAAAATAAGAAAAATGTATCATTCGCAAATTGGTAGCAGTTGGAGGAATATTGTAGTAGTAATTGGAGGGGATGAAACCTAATAATTTAAAATAAATATAAATAAATGTATAGTTTATATTGTAGTATAGATAAAAATCGCATTGCAGAATTACATTTAAGTGTGAAACTACCAGTAAAAATTGTGTGTTTATTTAAATTTTGATATCGAGGAGAGCTATTCGAGAACCTGAAACAACAGCAAATCAATATTTATCAGTGTTACGTTTTTCTACCGTTAAAAACAACGAAATATGAATCGTTTCTTCTGAAACCAAACTATTTCAATTTGTCGGTACAGATATCTTGTTTTCATTGTTACGTGATATTATTGCGTTTTCTTTTATTGTAATTATTTTACAATGCATCGCGTCAACTTGCGCTGCTCTTCGTGATCGTAAATTCTACAACAGTTCAGGATTTCCAGTTAAAAATTAAAACATTTTTTTAATTTTTTGAATCGTGAGATTAATATATTTTAATCTGAAAATTCTAAAATTTGAATATTCTAACCGGCAAAAATCTAAAATTTATAAATTTATAAATTTTAGAATTTGTGAAATCTTAAATTTCGTAGATATTCTAAAATAAATAGTTAAAAAAATTCAAATGATGATTCATATGATGAATCTAGAGATCCAATACTTATCTTTTTATAAAAAATATACTAAAATTAGGGTAACATGAAATTAAGGCAACTTGTGAAGCATCTGTAAAATTGATTATCACAAATTCCAGAAGTATAACAGATTTCTATCATTTTCAAATTGAGTTAGCCAGGCTGTTCCATTGCGGTTGGGTTTCAGGCTTATAGATTCCCCTCTTCCAATTACTCAAGACATAATAAATGGCAGGTCTTGCGATAATATTGCGCAGGATATTGAGTGATCGATCGCTTCTGTCGGGAACATTTTTTTCCCGGCCTCGCGTCATGTCGTTTGCAGAATAGAGCCGCCTTTTTACCTCTCTTCTCGCGTCTCGACCCGAAATTGCGTGCGGTCCGAGAAATTCGCTGGAAAAAGGAACGATCTGTAGCTGTCGAGTGCAATCCATTACACTTCATTTTATCCCCGTCTCCATCGGCATTCTCCCTTTTCCGCGCACCCGGCTTCTTTTGATCTCTCTCGAGTGAGGCATGTCGGCAGAATAAACGATCGCTATTGTGCGCGGTATAACGTTGTTTCTGATCCCCAGTGATAATTTGACTCCTTCTTTTCGGTATCTGGGGAGTGTCAAGTGCCGACATCATCTTTCTTCTTCCCCTGGAATTTTTACACGATCAAACGATACCTCTTACGATTTCAAACGCGAACACGTCTGAATCATTGACGATGATATTTTGTACGTGCTATGATTGGATACGAGAATTAACGTATCTTCGGATGTTAATCACGATGCTTTAATCGTTCGATTCCTCTCGATACGTCTTTCCCCGACATTCGTCTCACCACCGGTCGCAAGCGTAGGTTTCATCTCGCTCGAGAACGAAGGATACAGGTATGTCGCGAATAAACCCGCGACGGAAAGTTCCGACGTGCGCGACGAATCGCAGAATACGAAAGTGTCGGTGCGATAAGATGAGAGAACTTTTTTAAGCGTCTGTGTTGGAGATATCCCCGCTTGTGTGAGGTTATTCGCGATAGACTCGATGTTGCTCAACGGGGAACCAAATGCGCGACGAGTACTTTAAACCGCTTATATATATATATATATATATCCGAATGTTGCAACTGGAGTGACTCGCGACGGAAAATTACGTTACTTCAGACGTTACGTCAGACTTTTCATGTTTATTCGATAGTTCCGTCGATACTCGCTACGAGTACGACGTGGCTTAATATTTCGCTGGATGAATAGATATGAATTCCCTCTTTGCTATTTAGGAATTTTCAAGTTTCACAGTATACCATCGCGTTCAAATACCAGACCCGTCGGCATTTAGAATTGACGAGTTCATCAAAGTCATCCTTGAAATCTAACGAAGCCTGATTCGGGCGAGATCTAACTTCCAGTTTCAATAATAAACCGCCCGCGCGCGTTGACGAGGAGACGAAACACGGGGGCAACTTTAGACATTCCATTACAAAACGGGAATTGCACACGCACACACACACACACTCATAGGCGTGGCTGGTGCAATTTTCATGGAATGCGAACATTTCGTGAAGTGCGTCGCGAGTTCGTCACGCGGGCACAAGTTAAACCGGACTCGCGTATTTGCTCCGCTACAGCGTGTGTTTGCTTACGCTACCCGATACGCGGTAAATATGTAAAGGGTGCGGACTGCGAGGCAACCTTGCGGGAAGCGGTCGGCAGCTAACATTGCGAGCGAACAGCGGAAAAGTTTTACGGGTCGGACGTTCGCACGACTGTAAAACGAGGATGGACGTTACCTTTCACGGCTGAATTCTTCAAGCGCGCTATGAATTATCCACGCCTACCTCACCGTTTTTCTTCCGTATCTCCCGCGACCGACGACGCGTTCCTCCCGCGATAACGTTAGGAATGCATAATTTCGTCGTGCTTTCTAAACATTTGACCGGCTCGTTCGTCTAAGCCGTCTCGTCGCGTCGCCCCGGCAATGTTCATAACAATGCAAATGACTTTCTGTTGCGCCGAGTATGACTCTCGCTCGGAGTTGTTTGTATGTATGCGAAATGAATGAGCACCCACGAGGTTTCGAGGTCTTCAAGGTATGCGAAATGTAGGGGATTATAGAATATGTAGTCCCTGGACTGAGCGTGAATTCCGGCCACTTCTGAAAGCGGTGAGATTTGGAATTTTAAATTTATGGTACGATAACCGCGATCCTTCCTCTCTTTCTCGTGCTGTCAAAACTGGAAATTCCTCAGATGCGAGATTTCTATAAATTTAGCAATCTTACGATTCGCAGACATCTATGTCATTGTGCTTCAGAATGCGTATGAATATCGGTGACGAAATCGATTGAATAACGCGCTCATTAAATAATGATATTCGATTTTTGTTTGATGTAAGTGTTTGATTTTCCATAAATGTTATGATACATGGAATAAGTTGTGGAATAGTTCCTTTAAAAGATATTTCTTCTTATCTGTTTCAGCTACGGTGACATGGTTCCGAAAACGATCGCGGGAAAAATCGTCGGGGGTGTATGCTCCTTGAGCGGTGTCCTAGTGATCGCTTTACCGGTACCTGTAATCGTCAGTAATTTCAGCAGAATATATCATCAAAACCAACGTGCCGACAAGCGGAAGGCGCAGAGGGTGAGTGTATCTTGATCATATCTCTTTTTCATTTTTATACATATGTAATTTTCGATACATTCTCTTAAAGGCCATTCAACAATTACGTCACGTTAAATTTGACACATTTTATACCTCTCTCCTTTCCCTCCCTTTCGTCATAATTTTTGTTCAAATATTTGTTCTCTTCCAATATTACGTGACATAAAGAATTATCACCCGTGATATATTGAATAAAAACAAAGTTCATAATCATATTACAAATAATAATTATTAGACTGCAGGCTATCTTTCTTTAAACTACAAAGAATTTTTAGGCATAATATAAAAAATTAATTGCTTTATTTTATAATTTTCATTAGTAAAAGTCGCGTTTTTGAAAGAATAAATATTTAAAATTGACACTTTGATTATTAACACAAAACTGTGACAAAACTAAAATTTTCACCGAATGTCATCAAATATGTCACAAATGCAAACAAGGGAGATACCACGCGCATCCATATTTACAAGTTATGCTTATGTATATGTATATCTAATTGGTACTCCATGGCCTTTATTCTCTCCTACGCTGCCATCACAGACCGTCACGCAAGTTAATAGACCACTCTCCTCCCTCTCGTGGTGTAACGTGTTGAATAGTCCCTTAACTCACGTTTTTACTATTTTTTCACGTTGAACGTATCGGAGTTGGACGGATCGAAGAGGTCGTCCCTTACATCTCCCCCTGCTATTTAATAAGCCTTTTCTAAGTCTATATTTTATAAAAATTATTTATTAATTTAAAATTTATTTATTTTATACATACCAATAATGCGTATGCATTGTAGTGTCATAGTTTCACGTACGACGTCTCTCGCGTCGTCTCGTGAAATGCCGTCGCCTATTCCTCGCGTGAAACGTCGCACATCTACAAATAGCCGCGCGTCATTATTCGCACCACCGGGTGTACACTTTATTCCATCACAACGTACATCGATACTTCTGCATACCGTCTTCGGGCTAGAAAACTCGTCCAGCTAACTCAAGGCCGGTTCTGCCTTAACGAAGTCGCGAGCAAAGCAGAGCGACACGAGGAGCTCTCCTCCCGTTGTTTTCGCTGTGCCTCTCGCGTGACTGTTACTATAATAAGAATCACGACGCACTATAAATAAAAAATGCGGTCTATTATGAGGCGTGCCGAAATAGTGTCGTCGGCACGCGACGATATTTGCGCGTATGCGCGGGATTTCATCGGAATAATTTCTCGAACACACGGTATTACAATCACTATTTCATTTACCGTTATTAATTTAAACCCCTCCATCGGCGGTCCGTAGAAAGAAGCTCACAAATCTTTCATCGATGCCGACGAAACGTAAACTTTGGAATTCCGAGAGAAGTAGAGTACTCCTATTTATATGTTTGCCTGTAAAATTTTTACAACGGCGACATGTAAATAATACAGAAAGCGAAATATCGAATACATATACCTATAAGAAATAAGCCATAAGAAATTGCAACACGCGTAAGTAGACTTTTACACAGTGCTATCGGGAATGACGGGCGGCGGATGGAGCAAATAAATTCCACGGCCGACATTCCCGAAGGTGAGGAACTCTCTCCTGTCGCCATTTTCATATCCCCCCAATATCGACGTTCCGAAGATATTTCTTCCATTATAGGGAGGAAGTGGCGGTCCCAGTCGGGTCGCAGTCGATGACACGTTACTTCGTTTTGCGTCGTCGTTCCCAGAAGTCGGACGATTTATTCTCACTCGCGTGGTAGCTTGCAACTTCGTCCCCGTGGCACACTTACGAGCATTTAACTGAGCATTTCGCCGACGCCTCGGCTAATGTCATTGAAGGAGGAAAACGAGTCACCCCGCCCGCCGAAGGAGAGTGTCGCGACACCTTTTTTTCGGCTTTTCACACGCGAAATCATTTTAGCGCGATGTTATTCATCGTATGACGCGCGACGGAAATCGTCCCGATGGTTCCGAAACGAGCGAAGATGAGCCGCAATTGTTTTCGTAACACCCGATTTAGCATTTAGCGTCGCTTTCTATTTTTTTCCCTCTAAGTCGCGAAAATTGTACGAAAAGAAAAATTCAATTTCACACTTCAGATCATTTTATTAAAGCGACGTTTACATTATGATTGTGAGACGAATCGAATCAGGCACGGTAAACACCAGCAGCGCGGAAATTATCTCCTGTTGCGCTTTACACGCGATCAGTCAACGAGATTTTATTTATGAACGTCGTGAGGGTAGGAGGGGGATGTAAACGCCTGCAATTTTCGAAGATTTGAAGGAGAATTAAGTTGTAGACAGTTTGCCCATTGAAATTATATACTTTTATTTATATAATTTTATTGATGTACTTTTTCCCCTAGAGACAGGAAATGAAAAATAGGTAGAATTTCATCTTTCTACGGTAGATCCGCGTCATTATCGAAGAAACTTCGCGTCGTGATAATGCACATTTGGATCACCGAATTTGCCCTTATGACCTTCATCGAACATGCTGCTGAAACCTCTTAGAAATTTCTTCATTGTACTACGAGCAAACGAATGGACGAGCATCCTCGATCACTCTTAGCTTCCGTGACACCATTGCCATTTTTAGCATCGACATTTCGACAGTGCATCGATCGATCCGTAAAAAGAACTCCAGCCGAATTCGCTTCGCGAACTGGCGAGATAGAGAAACGTGAGGAAGGAAGGGAGGAAAAAAAAAAGGTAAAACCATCGCTTCGGTTGAATATGTTCTCGCGAGACGCCGCGTCTACCCGCTCGCTCGTATCCTCTCACGCGGAATATCATCGGCGCGGCGCGATATTTTTACGGGAACGCTCGCGGGCGAACGTGCGGGCGAGATTTATTCTGAAAGGCGGCAGCGATCTTTTAAATCTCCTCCGCGCGGACGGACGATTTATTCCCGCACGTGTAAACTTACGCGTCCACTTTACTCGCGCCGGCACACTCGTGACGATTTAAGCAGGCAGCATTGAGACGACTCGATCGGATCGATCTCGCGGAGTAGAGAAAGAGAGAGAAAAAACATGAGTGAGTGAGAGAGAGAGGGAGAGAGAGAGAGAGAGAGAGAGACGAAGATGGAAGTCGATTGCGCGCCCGGTTTCGCGAGAATTCACATGTGTTGCGAATAAAAAGGATTTATACGTCACGGGGTTATAAATCGACGGCGCGGACATAATTTATTCCTCCTAACAAAATTGCATCGCGTCGCGAGCAAGAGGTGTTTTTTCAGCCCTTAATTCTGTGAGAATTAAAAATGTTGACCCTGTGCCGGATTTTGCGCGCGGAAAATGAATGCATTTTCCGTGTCTCGAATATTTAATTTCCCCGTGAAAAATTATCGACAGGGCGGGAGGATACGAATGTCGTTTCTTCCCTCGGCGACGACGTTCGCAGGTTGCGAATCGTAGCTACGCCATGAATGAAACGATTCGGGATCTTTGCGGGAAGCGTTTTTTTTTCTCCATTTATTTCTTAAAAGTCTCGGCGCCGCCACTCGGAATCATTCTGGGATTTTTCGAATTGTTCTTCATGCGGAATCGTAAAGTCTCGGATCGCACGGCTTCGCGAAGGCCGACTCACCGATACCGCACAGATCTGCATTGCAGATGCAACCGCATCTACATATGCATGGACACGTTTGTTCTGATTCCCGCTCTCGGACAGCGACGGATTTTTCGTTAGCGGGCGGGCTTCTTTCCCTGCGCTCTGTCGACGTTTGAACTTTTCCGACGGGTTCTCGTGACACTTCCCGGACTCCGGTGTCGTGCGACGAAACTCCTACATCATAACAGAACTTAAAATGCTATACAGACTGACAGATAGATAAGTAGATAGATAAAGAGGCAGATAAATGCAAGATATTCTAGAGTTAACGAAGGATACTTTAGGGACGTAGTTTCGCGTGAAAAGGGCAGGTTTCTCTTTCTTGAACGACCGCAGATCGAAGCAAGTGTTTTATCTCGAAAATGAAGGATCCCTGTGCGAATTATTTCTTGATCTTCGTATTCCCGGATTCCAGTATGCTGGAAATCTTAATATTTGAGTTTTCTCATCTCGAAATTCGTTCGTTCACAAATCTGTAACGACCCCGAGGTCGTCTTCCTCGTTCCTTTGAGAGAAAGAGTGAGAGAGTTACGAGATCTCCCGAATCTTGAAATATTTATTCTCGACATCCGTACATTCTTTTATTCTTGTATGCTCTTGAGATAAATTATGAGCGTCTTTGCGAGTTACATTTGATGGTTAATTAGGTCCAAAAGCAATTACGACCCCCCGATGGTTCTTAAAGACCAGGAAGGTCGAAGGAACGGGTGACTATTCAGCGAGCCTCTGGCGCCGCTCCTCCAATTTCCGCGACTCACGCGCGATTCGAGGCGCATCACAATTGTTCATTACGTATTCCTCGTGCCCTGCGATTTCTCCAGCCTGCGCGACCCCCCGCCACGTATGAAATAGCGGTGATGAACCCGAAGGTGGCGGTTGGTAGTAAGCCAAACCGTGCTCGCAAGTTTCGCCTGAAAATTCACCGAGGCGGAACGCTCGTGAATCTGTGGAAGCGAAGATACTTATACGGTTGAAACTCTGCGAATAATCGCACGATATCGCGAACAATATCGCGAGCGAGCAATACGAGGACCGAGAACTCGCGAGGCGGGACGGAGTATCGGGAAATCTCGCCTCGTCGCTATCAAGCGGTCGTCGTTCGCGGAAAATGCCATCTTCCACGACGATCGTCTTCGCGCTTCGCTCCTCCTCGCGGGGTTATTACGAAATTCGATTCAGTGCCATTCACCGTTACTATCGGTCCGCATATTACACGGTTGATGATCGAACATGGACTGCCGTAATGGGCCTGTGATTTACGGGCGCCCATTGCCGTCATCGATATACCTACATTGTCAGTAAACGCCACTGTGAACTTTGCATCTGCATTTAATGTCACGTCCGGCGTTAACGGGCAAACGGAGGGAGGAGGAGCGGATCGATTTTCCGCCCTGGCCGTCTCTCTGCGCGTCTGCACAAACAGCGACACGAATCTCCGTTTAACGTCGGTTACCTTACCGTCCGTTGCATCGATTCTCCTTGCCATGTCTGCCCGGTCAGTAGCGTACATGTATATGTAGCGGGCTATACATATGTATTCGCACGATAATAACAGCGCCATTTTTCCTCGACGTGCTCGGCTAAGGGCGGCGGTGGAGGCTGCGAAAATGGCGGGGCGGCATCTCTTCGTCCGGCGAAATTTTTAGATTTACGAGTCGTAAAGTCGCTCGCCGGGGGATTTATTTTGACGACTAAGTGTTTTACGGTTATAGCGGGCGCGCCGCAGGATTCGTTCGATCGGAAAGACTAAGCGAATCGACGACAGTGCGCATAAACGTTACCCGTTGGATACAGACGCAATTTTTCGGCGGCGTTGAAGCGCGAGTGATTTTTTCTTTTCCTTTGAAACTCCGTAGTTATTTTTCCCTCCTTTGAATGTTCCATCCAGTAATTCATGAAATTTATTTTACCTCGAATATGTACGAGACGTTTCTCGCAGGTCGGCCGTTTCGTTTGCGAAGACTTAACAAGGTTAATTCCACGCCAAATAGATCGTATTTTCGTGTTGATTTATGCCTCTGAATTTATTGAATTTATTGATCGAATAAATTTGCTAGAGACATGGGAGTAAACAAATAGTTATGTTTATTCAATGATACTGAATCAAAGGTTCATCCGAGTTCAGCTGATCGATTGAATATATTTGTGCTGCAAGATATAATATCAAATAATATTGTACCTTGCATCGAATAATATTAAATTTTATTATATATATATAAATAAAGGATATATAATTGTCAAATTCAACACGGCCGATGAACTGTTAAATGAACGAATAATGTAACTTTTATCTTTGCTGTACATAATCGAACTTTCATTTGTTTAATTCGTAAAATATATAAAGTCACTTTCGACTGAACAAATTTGCAAGAGCGATTCAAGTTTCATCCGTATTTTTCTTTTCTCTTTTGCAATCAAACTGTGTAGAATTACATATGAAAATTATAAAAAAAGGAAATTCCCTCTGTCGAA